TGACAGTGAAATAAGGAGATCCTGCTAATAATCCTATATAATAAAAGCCTAATATGCTAAGTGTCCAGTCGTCCAGTTGGCCATTCAACCAATCAAAGCATAATATGCTAATGATATGCTAAGGCCGCTCAACTGTTTGCTATGATGTGCACTGACCACCAGGGAGCAGACACTCTGACCAGTAGGTTAGCTTGCTGCTGGGGTCCAGCTCATCAGGACTGAACGCTCCCTCTCACAGCCCCTCCCGAGTCCCAATCGTGCACTGGTGGAGTCCCTCGGCCTGGCCGGCAGCTACTTGTTCCTCTAGCAACCTGGGACCCTGACAGGGGATGTTGGAAAGCCAGTTTTGGCCTGACCTGGCCAGGCCAAGGGACCCCACTGGTGCATGAATTTGTGCACCAGGCCTCTAGTGTGTTGTAAAATTGTTAAAAGAGCGAATCTTAAATGTTGTCATCGGAAGAAAAAAAAAGAATAAATATGTGAAGTGATGGATATGTTAATTAACCAGATGGGGAGAATCTTTTTACAATGTATATGTATATCACATCATCACAATGCTGCACTTTAAATATTTTACACTTTTGTCAATTATACCTCAGTAAAGCTGAAATTAAAAAAAAAGAATCTACTCTAGGAGAATGTATAATCTATTTTTCAACAAATTAGTTTTATGGATATTCATGGAAATCATTCATATGCAGTACATGGGGAGAAGAGCAGAAATCTGTGAATGAGTGGAGGGAAGTTTGGCTGGAGGCAAAGGGATGGCTTTCTCTGGAAGAGGGTTGGCTGCTTTAGATCTTCTGGGGCTTTTCCAGAAGAGAGGAGAGCCCTCAACATCTCTGTTCCCACTCAGCTTCTAGGGAACCATATAAAGGATAGAAACAGCCACTTGTTCCTTCTGCTGTGCACACGGTGGTTGGAGGCCCCAGAGCAGGATGACGGTGTGACTGGAAAAGAGGAGGAAGATACTAGCCCTAGCTTCAGGAATTTCACTTTGGCTCTAGATAAGAAAGAATATAGGCCGTGACTAGGGCAAGTTGGAATACTAGTGGCTGTAGCAGCCACTGAGACTCCTGAGTGCCCTCTCCATCCCCTACCCCCATAACTACTGCTATCCTGCCTTAACGGAGAAAGAAAGCTCTGCATGAGCTGAGATTCCAATTATTGTGCTTGTGGGGGTTCAGCTAGAAACAAATGAATTCATTACTATTGTAGGGTTGTTTCTTCTCCAGCCTGGAGATCAGGAAAATGCTTGTTATATTAGTTTATTTTCTAAGAATACAACAAATTTTTTTGTCTCCTTTCCATGCTTTTCTGATCTCACTCTAACCCTCTACAGGAAGAGGGACAAATATAGGTGATTATGCATTCTTTATGGTCTGCTCATTTCTTTGCTTGGATATTATATCCTTATAAGGAATCCATTTTCCCTCTGTGCAATCAAACAGCTTTTATGTTTAAACTAGAGGCCCAGTGCATGAAATTCATGCACTTGGGGGATCCCTTAGCCTGGCCTGCACCCTCTTGCAGTCCAGGAGCCCTCAGGGGATGTCCGACCAACAGCTTAGGCAGTCGGACATCCTTAGTGCTGCTAAGGAGGCAGGAGAGGCTCCTGCCACCACCGCTACATTCACACTGCGTTCACCAGCCGTAGCCCAGCTTCTGGCTGAGCGGCACTCCCCCTGTGGGAGCACACTGACCATGAGGGGGCAGCTCCTGCGTTGAGTGTCTGCCCACTGGTGGTCAGTGCATGTCATAGCAACCGGTCATTCTGTGTTTGGTCAATTTGCATATTAGCCTTTTATTATATAGGATAGTGCAGTGAAAGGAAGAGGTATTAGCCTTTTGTTTCACAGCCATTAGCCACCTCACCTCTACGTTGCATCTTACTAAATTTCCCCATTCACTCTTTTCGCATTCTGCCTTGGTGCCCGGCCAGGGCTACCAAGCATCTCCTCATAAAACCCAGTTATCTCAAACCACAGTCACCTACCTCAGTTTCACTCTCTCATCCCACAAGGCCAAGCCATTCCTTGAACTGTAAATGCCTTATCTCCTCCATGACTGCCCCTCCTCCGAACAAGAAATGGTCTCGTCCTAGCCGGTTTGGCTCAGTGGAGAGAGCGTAGGCCTGAGGACTGAAGGGTCTTGAGTTTGATTCAGGCCAAGGGCACATACCCAGGTTGCAGGCTTGATCCCCAGTAGGGGACATGCAGAAGGCAGCCGATCTCTCGTTGATGTTTCTCTCCCTTTCCCTCTCCCTTCCTCTCTGAAATCAATAATTTTTTTTTTTAAAGGGGGGGAAACTGCTATCATCTTTAAATCTACTTTAGTAAGTCTCTTGCGATTGTGAGCACAAACAAGGTGCTTGTGGATAAACCTGCAGATACAATGATAAGCCAGCTGGCTGGAAGATGGTGATGTAGGCCAACAGTATGTACATGTGGTCATTTTTGATGATTTATGTTTACCCTCTTCCTTTCAGCTCTCTGTACTGTGTGTATTTTTTATTTCTTTTTTAGACTCCATTTGCAGAGACACCTTTGAAGTAACCAACACACACAAATATAAAAAGAACAACAAAAAAAGAAAAATTATTACTAGGGAGATGTGGATTTTATTATGAGTTTCAAGTGGCCAGTTAGTCAACAGCAAACAGTTGTCCCCACCAGGGTTCTGGATTATTTGAATTGTTTTTGCTTTATCTCTTCTGCATAGTACTAGAGAGATTGCTGATAAGAGCACCTGTTCAGGAAAGGAGATAAAAGTGTTGCTGATGGCAAAAATATGTTTCACCATGAACAATATTTCTATTTTTTTTCCTTTGGGAGGGGGTCTGATCCAAATGATTACACTGGTAGAAATCTCCTGTGATGTTCAACTTTTTTTTGTTGTTGTTCCAGAGTAAGATATAAAAAAGAATAGCTTGACTGTTTTTGCCCTAGAAAAACAAATGAGAAATAATTTTCAAATTTTCTTTATTTAAAATCTTAATTTATTGAATGACATGAGAAATGAGACTTGTAGTAATCTTGAGTAAAGGGTATTTTAAAATTTTGCTTTGTCATTAACTATGTGGTTCTCATCATGGCTACACTTGGTAACCTTTTTAAAATAATTTAATAACAGAGTCTCACCCCAGTCCAGTTAAATCAGGATCTATGTGAGTGGGACCCAGGTATTGGTATTTTTAAAATGCTCCCAGTATTGTTCTAATGAGAACAAGGGTTAAGGACCATTGTTTTAACTCTAGCTATGCTAATTTTTGCACCTCCATATCAGAGCTTCAATCTCTAATATTTGTTTCCTTGAAGAGTTGATAAAATGTGATATTGACTAGAATCATAAAAGTTGACAGGAGGGTATGTATGCATTTGATAATTCAGGTACAATACAATTAACTTCTTTTTAGTGAAATTCCTTGTCTAGGCTTTTGATAAAAGAGGAGCAAGACCTTAGCCAGGTAGTTCAGGTTGTTAGAACATCATCCTGATACACCAAGGTTGCGGGTTTGATCCCCAGTCAGGGGACATACAAGAATCAACCAATGAATGCATAAATGAACAAAATCAATTTCCAATGTCTCTCTCTCTCTCTCTCTCTCTCTCTCTCTCTCTCTCTCTCTCCCCCCCCCTCTCTAAAAAAACACAAACTCCCCCACTCCCTTTCTCTCTCATTGATAAATTTTAAAAAAAAATTTTTAAAGAGAGGATAAGATACTGAAATTAATTGATCCAAATCCTTAGTAATCCTGTGATAATGGAAGGGTAAAGTTTTCCAAGAGGTTATTTCTCTTCCGGTGTCAACACTACTAGACATAAAGACTAAGAATTAAAGAGCACTATTGTACTTTGTATATTATACTCTTATTGAAATAAAATATACATACACAAAAGTGTACTTAATTTGCACTTTTATGTATATCTTGATGAGTTTTCACAAACACACATCAAGAAATTGTGTAACCTTTACCTAGATCACAAAATGGAGTATTATCATTCCCCATTCACCAATCTCCTCTTCTAACCAGCTCCCCAACCCTTGCCCCCTTCCAGTCACTACTCACCCTCCCAGCCATCACCCCTCAGAAATAACCAGAATCCTGGCTTTTGATGTGGCCATCAGGCTCTGCGCTTTAGAGGACCTTCTCTGACCTCCAGAATCAGGGCTTAGCATCATGTATGTAATAGTTAAAGAGCTCAGGTTCAAGGGTCAAAGTCCCACCACATACAGGCTTTGTCACTCCACTTCTCTAAGTCTCACTTCCCCCTTTCGTAAAATGGAGATAATAGTACTTGTCCATAGAGTTGTTATAATAAAATGAGGTAATTTATGGAAAGTATTTAGAGGGCCTGACACATTATC